TTTATAAAAAAATCTAAAGAAAATAAATTTATAGTTAAAATTAATTAAACCAATACCATCTTAAATTAAAATTATTTAAGAATCATTCTCACTGTCGACTTTTCGAGGTTTCTTCCCTTTGTTGACTTTCTTTTTGGTTTCCTTTGAGACTCTATCGAGTCGCTCTTTTTCAAGACGGCGCTTTTTTATTTGAGTGTTTTCAAGAGAAATACGTTTGGGTTCTTTTGTTTCTTTGGGTGTCCCCTTCTTTCCCAAGAATTTAAAGGCTTCTCTTGCTGAATTTATTTCAATTCTTATAACACCATGAATCAAATCGGATGGGTTATAATTAGGATTGATTTTTAAAGCTTTTTCTATTTCCTCTTGTGTTGGTTTTTTCACAGCCACTGTGATTCCAGCCTGAGAAAATGCGCTTGTAACATTGTCCCCATTTGCAACCACTTCCCAAGAATAGAGAATTTCTTTAATTCTTTCTTCTTCTGAAAGGTTCACAAAACCTTTCAAAAGATTTTTAAAATTGGGAGAATCCATTTTTAGAATATTTCCGACTTTGTGCTCAAATTTCCCCTCTTTTTCTTTTAACTCAAATTTGTGCTGCATCAACCCATTTTTGTTTTGTAAAAACACCTTTTTTATTACAAAAATTCCCAAGTCTAAAGGCTGACACAGATGAGAACTATGGGCAACTTCTTTGATCATTTCGACGTGATTTTCTAAAAATAGATCTTCAATTTGTTTAGAAAAGTGACCAGAGAATCCATCGAGAATTAAGTATGCTTTCGTATCCGATCTAACTCCCATTTGCTCTCTTTTTGCCTTAATTGTTTTGAAAAAGACTCTTTTTAGCCAAAGCGTGTAAAGGTCTGTTGTCAGCATACCAGATTGTTGTGTTCTAATAATAGCTCTCCACTTAAAATAGCAAGCGCGGTGTCTAACAAGGATAGACGTTTGTTACCACAAGTGGAGTAAGTTTTGTTCCATCAACACAAATGCAACAAAATAAACTAATTCTGGCTTTATCCCGATCCACTTCGGTATAAACGTGCTCTCCCGACTCAACAGATGCATAAACAATTTGTTGAGTGGCGTCTACCTATTGAGCGAAACCAACTTCGTCTAAATTAAAAACCAATTCGAAACGTACCCCATCAAGTTTTTTCTTTAAGTCGGAATAATAGGACATAATTGACTCTGGTTTAACTTTTGCCCTATTTTTTTCCATTACAGGTGCCACTTTTTTCTCTAAACCTTCAACATGTCCGACAATTTGGTGCAATTGCCTCCTCTCTAAAATTTATCCGAAATTTTGCTTAATAAACAAGCCAGCACCCAAAGATGAAGAACTCCTTACATTTTTAATTTCTGCTTGAAGTTTTTCAATTTATAAATCTGTTAGCTTTCTTGGTCGTCCTTTTTCGGGTTTTTGTCCTGTTTTCATTTCTTTTTTAATTTTAGAAATTTGTGTTTTAACTCCATGAGATTTCATTGTCCCGAAAAAAAGCTCCAAAGAGACCAAAAATGAAAGATTGTTTGTTTTGAGCGATTCTGAAATATCGGACGGAAGTTCAAAAAAAAACAAAAACGGATCTGATCTCTAAAAGAATGAAAATTGAGCCAAATTACATTTTTTTCTAAATTTTTAAACTTTTCAAAAGTGTCTGGACATGTTTTGAGATATTCAATGAGGCCTAAACTATTTGGAATTTTAGGACCTGCAAGGTGGAGGCTTTTAACCTTTTCCAAGCTCATTTTATAAAATTGTTTAATACCAGAAGATGCCATGAGTTTATAAAGATTATGTTTGGTCGAATTATATATTACATGATGTTTTAAGGATTCTGATAAATATTAAAAATGTAATTATTAAATTATAATGTATAGTTTTATTGTTGGCGTGCATCACTTTTTTATCTGAACTTACTCATAATTGTATGTAGTATACCTGGGTTATCAAATGGGGTTTTAAGCTCAATCAACTTATTGGATTGATGTGTTGTTATTGATTGAGCTTGCTACAAACAATTTAAGTATTGTTATATTTAATGAACTAATGTTTTGTGTGTGTTGGATTTGTTTTTTATTGAATAGATTAATTTAATTACTTAAATAAAATTGATAGTTTTTATTAAAAAAAATTATTTACATTCTATTAATAAATAATAATCATTCTGATATTTTTTAGTAAATATAGTTATATATTTATTGTTCTTTGGTTATATCCTTTCGTTACTTTAATTAAAGAATCTTTAAAACATAAAACGCATGTTTTGATTTGGATCGATATAAATGAAAGCCACAACACAATTCATTTAACTGTCAAGTAAATAAGAGTATACAACCAAATTGATTCTTCGATAAATCGAATTTATTAACAACTATAATTGAATAATTGTTAATATTCGTAATTGTGTTGTATGTTCACTATTGGGGCAGTGATGAAGTTCAGAAACCAATTTTTTCTTTTCTCTTCCTATCTTTAATTTCATCCCTTTGTGAATTAATTTAATAATATTTTAATTTAATTAACTATAAATAATCATTTTTTATCCTATAATAAACACCAAATTAACACTATGAATGCTTGATGAAACACTGTGTACATAATTAATAAAAACTATTTTTGTCTTTCGGGCAACATTTAACTGTGTCATTGTATCATTATTCATTTAAAAACTATCATCTTTTGGTTACATGTTGAAAGAATACAACCTCTTTCTTCAACAATTTTTATACCCAAATTGATAAATACATTTTTGGGCAACACTTTTGAATGGACAATAAAACCGATACCTTCACCATCTTGGCTTTATATAACTTAAAAATATAACCAATTATTGTACAATGCCATATTATTTTTTTGTGATTTTGCTCGAGGTTTTAAAACCGCTTCCCTT